TGGTTCCAGGGGAATGCTGTAAGATCTGGCAGAAGCCAAAGATGATCACCTGAACCAAGAGGCACCACCTTTACCTACAGATCTAAGTAGCATGGGGCAAATATTCTCCACAATTTTGGCTAAGGGCATATTTAGGATAACCTAGAGAAAGGAGTGAATATGTTATTTGGGATCTTACACTTGATTCCAATAGCTCTAGATAAAATGGGGAGCATGAGCAGCAGAACTGGATTCTCTGCTACACATCAGGAATAAGGCATGGGGAAGTTTATAGTCTTTAACTCAAAATGCCAGCTGGAGTTTCTGTTTTGTGGAGCTCCATTCCACAGTACTCCTGCAGGCTCTTTATTTTTAAAATACAGAATCTCCAAAAAAGTCTCAAATTATTACCATACAATGTTACTAATGAGGGTCTGAACAGCAAGAGTCTGATCAGAAATGTGGAGGAGCCCCATTTGTGTTTTACTTTAGCTTGCTTTAATGCTGAAGAGTATATAACATCCCTCAATATGATGTTTCAAAAAGAGCAAAGTTAGCTTTCACAAAAGAAATTACCACAGCAGCTGATGATTACCTTGCACAACTGGCCACATTAGAAATATCCTAATCAGCAGTACACATCTAATCCCAATCCCAAAGTGCAAAATAGCACATTGGCTGTTGATTAGCAGCTCAATACCAAATCCTGTATAAGACTGCCAAGTCTCTTTCATCACAAGTAAATTACCTCTAGAGCATTCTATGGGATAAATTAGTTGATATTAACAAAACTAATCATCTAATTGCTCTTGTATACTTTTTCATCCACATTCCATCTTTAATGAAAACAAAGACTAAAAAATCTAACAAGGTGCCTCCACTGTCCCTATCAAGTACACAAACATATTACTCTTTTTTAGTTTCTCAGTTCCTGGCTGCTATGTCATGAACTGTCACAAAGGGGTTGCAGAACTCCAGCAGCAGCTACCATGTTTCTTTTCATTCACACTACCTTGGGATATTGACAAATAAAATATTACAAATTTTTTTCTTTTCAAGAAAATAACCTGATTCAAGACTGCAGTAACTACAGCTCCTTGAAGGCTTTTCCTTAATTTATATTGGCATGATTTAGGTAAAAATTAGATCATTTTCCCCACTACCTGCAGAGCTTCAATTGGTATATTTGTCTCTCGCTAATATTAGCAATGGTACTGAATAGCTACAGCAGCTCTCTCAGACACACCATCCATCACTAGCAATGCACAGTAGCTCTGGCCAGACCTGCCTGGACTGCAGTATTCCAGGCAGAAAACGCCAATAAATAATAACAATAACAGAGCAAAACTCCAATAAAGAACCCTGAAAAAAAATTTAAAGCTTTAGATTTGTCTGTAGGATGAGGAGATACATTGCTAAGAAAGCAGCAGAGGTGCCCCAGAGCTGCTTTAGGCACTGGAGGCTGCAGAAGTCCACTGAAGAGCATGGATTGCACTGCAGAAACTTTTCATTGCATTACAAAGACAAAAGTCAGATTCACTACAAAACATAACTTCATGTTGAAGGTGATGCTGGCACTGATGGGTTGAGCAGATGACTGAAAGAAATCAGGAACACCAATACACAATTAATTGTTATATTTGGTTAGTCTACACTAGAAAACTTGTCTTTAAAGGATGTATTCTATGAGAAGTTTCAAAATTGAAGTTTTTGAAATTTATTTTAACTTTTACATATTAATTTTGGAATTCTTACTGTTTACAAATCAGAAGTCATACGTCAAAGCAGAAACTACAGACTTAAAGCATACCTGTGACCAAGCAATGTCTAGATGCATGAATGCAAGAACTCTTCAAAGTGACAGGAACCTTGTTAGTAAAATTTCACATTCAGAAGCCCTTTGCTTGTTAGATACTGGAGATACATTAATTTTCCCAACTTTATCAAAAGTCTGTGTGTGTTTCTTATGTCTCTTCTCAAATTAATCAAAATCTCTGACAATGTACACTGCAGTTACCCAGGCTGTTATATGCTCCAACTAGGCAACAGCAATTTGAAAAAAGAAAATACAGAACAGGGATGGGGTTTGGGGGAATTTGGAAGGCTATTGGTTGGTTGTTTGGTTTGTTGGGAGTTTTTGCTATTGTAGATATTTAGGGTGGTAATCTATCTTGCAGTCTTCCTGGTAGATGACATGCTGTCTCCAGAGGTATATCAGATGTTATTTCTGATGTTTTATTTATCTTCCTCAAAGTATTTTATCTAAAATTGCTACAAAAAATGTATACACACTATAGATTGAGCAGAAAGCAAAACTGACCCTTTTTTTAACACAAAGCTTATTTCCATTGACAAGCCTCCTTAGGATCCTATATCTACACCTTAAAAAAGAGTGTATTTCTTAAGAGCAAGAGCAAGGAAGAGGAAAAAAAATCCAAATATCAATTACATCGTCTGTGTTTGAGCTTCTTTCATACTTAACTTGTGCCTTCAATCATTATTGCAGACTGCTGCACTCCTGAGTAGAAACAACTCATGGTACAGCTCTTCCTTTCCTGTGCCCCTGCCCACTGTTTTTCTTCATCCATACAATTGTTCATGTGCCTGCACCCCCAGGCTGTAATTGTGATAATTTCTGGAATATTTCTCTATTGCTAAGCATCTTCTGTATAAAACTGATGAGAAAAACTGGAGAGGGAGTAGTTTAGCAGCAAAGAGAAAAACAGGAAATCCAGCATGAGGTTCAAAAATTATTTCAAGGTTATGATTAGCCATAGGCTGAAAGATAAGACCTCTTAGAATACAGACAAAATCTGGCCTTTAGAACTCAACTATTTAACTTCTTTGAAACCCAGAAGTACAAGAGGAAGGATTGAAACAGACAAGTACTGCAGCATTAAGCAGACAGAAAATTCAGCTAAACTTCTCTTTGAATACAAATAAATTCATTGAATAAATAAATATTTCCTGCTGTATCGATATATTTGTGGATACTTAGCACATCCTTACAAGGCACTCAAACAGGGTGGACCTCTCTGAAACTGTTCCAGAACCAAAATAAGCAGGAGCACTCTATGCTTAGGAACACCTAAATGCCCAGAAGACCTTACCTGAGATTACCTGTCCCATTTCAAACCTATTTCACATCCTCCACCTCAGCTAGGGCAAGCAGGATACTACAGAATTTCACAGGTTATTCCATCACCCAATAAAATTGGGAAAACTATCAGTTTAAAAGCTGAGTTTTGGTAGTGTAAGGAAACAGACTTCAATTCAATAGTAGTCAAATGCAGTTCATCAGAAAAAAAAAATCAAACCCTGAATTCACTGCATACCAGCTTGCTGAAGCTGTTAATTAACCAAAACTCAGTAATGTCCTTTGGGATTAGAATGCTTTGTGTTCCACTTGCTTGGGTGCCAAATCTTGCAGTAAAATAAGCCATTTCTTATAAGATATGCTTAATAGCTCAATCAACATTTTCAGGAGAAATTAACAGCAGGTTCCCAATAATTTAGCTCTCTGAAGATGCTGATTTAGGCTTTGCCAGCCTATATGATTTCCCCATTGATAAACTGTTAACACTGTTTAATCAAGAACACTAATGACAAACTGAAGTGAAACCAGTGACTAACTCACACACATACACTAAATTATTGCTTCTGAAGTGGGCTGTATTAAATAAGTACAGTTGAACATAATTTATATACAGACTCAATTATCAATATCCATTTTTATCTGGAAAAAAAAAAACTAATTTAAATTCTCTAAACATGATTCCCACTGAACCTGTGGTTCACCTGTGCTGTCACTCACTGATTTACCCCACCACGATCTTGTCACCTCCACATAAGTGGGATTTTTGGTTACAAGAGAAGCTGCTTTGAAAAAGCTCTTCTTGAGCTTCTTCCTTCTCTAAGCTACAAGTTAAAAGAAATATTAAACAACAACAAGGATTTTTTTCTGGTAGAGAGTCACAGGGTCTCAAACCAGTCCTCATGTTCAAAGTCACAAGGCTACATATTATTCCAGCAGTCACTTGGAAAGGCTTTTCAGCTTGTTCAGAAGGGAAAAGAAAGAGTGAAAAGAAAACAAAACAGCACAAGCCCAAAATCCCAAATCTTCAAAATGTTAAACAATTGAAACTCAGAAAGGATCTTTCCAGCAAAGCAGGAAGACTCAGCATTTACAAATCTGACTGTAGCACCCTAGCTGCCAAACAAAACGGTCTCTACCTTTCCCTTCACAGAAATATTGCTGTCAAGCTTTAATAACAGCATGAAAAAAGAAATACTAGTCAGAACCATACGCACCACCAAGAAAACTTATCTCAAGATTTAAAAAAAAAATTTAAAAATCAAAATTTTTATACTCAGGGAGCAGAATAAGATAAATTAAAATTACATAACATTTTCACTAACACAGTTTCACTTTTCAAAATGAAAGTCAGATTTATTCAACATTAAGTGCAACAACACATCAGAAATCAATAAAATCAATTTTCACTTATAAAGTAAAGCAAAGTAACATGAATAAACACAGGAAAATACTGTCTGAGACTCTCCAAGCAGGACATTTCTCATAAGACTCACAGAAAAGGAAAAAAAAAAAGATTTTTATATGCAAACAGACTAAATTCTCCAAAATTCAGGGTTTTTTTCCAGTTGTAAAGCAATATATAGGTAATGGGAGGTAAACTAGAAAAGGGAATGAAATGCATCATGCTGTACAACACCAAAGAAATACTCCAAATGCATTTGTGTACAGCATTTATAACATGCAATAGGTGAGGCTAAAAGCAAGTACAGTGTGTATATATTAGAGTCAGAAACTAGTCAGTCTGAGGGCTTTCTTTCTTGTTTTAGTTCAACTAATGAAAACAAACACGAAGCCAAGAGCAAACAGAGGAAGAGCAGAATCTGCATGGAGAACATCTCTTCCCAGAACAGTAAACATTTTAAGATTCAAAGTTTGCACATATTTACTTGTCTTGGTCCTCTTCTTGCTATGTCATTAAAATATATCCAGATCCAATGGGCTTTATGCAAGTATCTACATTTTAATAAAGAAGTAATTAAACAAAACAATGCAAGTCATTCAAATTCTGCTAAACTTTTAAGTCAGGCATTAATATGCTGAACACTCACTACAACTCAATGTTATTTAAATTAAAAATAAAACCAGGGCAAGACATCTCCCAAACAGCCTTGCTGAAGTGTAGGGTATTCTAACTATATTGCTTGGAGGAGAGCAATGTGAAAACAGATGTGCTACCCAATTCATTTCATTAAGCATTATTTAAACAATACTTTTAGACAACACTTGGTCTCTTTGTTCATTCTATTCAGTTCACAGCCTGATAGATTTCTCTTGCCAGTCTTTTTTTTTTTTTTAACAGCAATTTTTTAAGACAAACTCCCAAGATCTCCTATAGATTTTGTCAGGTATTGAAAAGCAAGCAAGCATAGCACACATGCAAGTTATTAGAATTAGAGAGCCAACTATAATTAACTACAAAGTTCCAAGCAGTAAGAACATCTACATTCCCATGGGGAGACTCCATCTTACTGGGAGATGGATTTGAAAGATGATAAAGAACACAGGTTACCTAGTTCACTTCACAAGTTCTCTGCCTTCCACTTGAAGACTTATCAGAATCCATTCTACCACCCAACAAACTAATACAAATATTCAAGATTGTCATTAATTTCTGTAAGAATGGAGTGATGGCTGACAGCTGAAGACTGACTTTTGTAGGGCTGGACATACTGACCTTAATTTTAAATTAATTCAAGTCTGAAAATAATTGTGCAGCATTAACTTAAGACACAAATAAACAATCAAAAGATAATTAAAGGATAACTTTGCCACTTATACACGAATCACACCAACCAATGTTCTACCTCATTCACCTGAAGTACAGCGGTGTTTTTACAATATCCAACTGTGACAAAGTCTTTAAAAGGCAACTATTAATCATTTATCTATTAGTAATTACCAACTGAAAAAAGCCTCTAATACTCTAAACGACTACCAGTACTTGTTTATTTTTTTAACAGGAGAGGGATCACAAAGAATTGAGATGAATTAAAATAAAAGGAATGTGAAGGACAACGTTTTAATTCAGATGTCTTTAGCACATATTAAACCAAAACTGACATTAAGACATGCTACAAAAGGTTCTCTGAAACTGCTCTGAGGTTTGGCAATCACCCCGGTTAGTACTGTAATTACTAAATTTAATGCCGGGTGAAAAACAGAATAGAAATTAGAAATAAGGTAATATCCTGGAGAGTACATATAAAGAAGAAAGTGGGGGGTTTTGTTGGATTTAAAAGTTACTGATCTGAAAGCCTTGAGATTGAATGTACCTCTTATCTCCAGCAATCTAAATTGCAAGTGTTCCTTAGGAAATTCAATACCACTGAGCATTTTTCATCCTCTTTAATAAGCAAGAGGCATTTCTTTTTACCTTGCTCAAATGTGTTATCCTTAGCATCTAAACAGAAATCAACCTTCCCACTTTCATTTCAGTGAAGCATTAAATACACAGAACACACATGCAATTTGGTAAACTTGAGATTTAAAGTTGTAAAGAAAAACAACAGATAACACAAATCTCCTTTATTTCTGAATGCCTGAAGTGGATTGATAAGTACTGCCATCTGCTTAAGCAATGGTAGATGCAAGAGCACCCAGGAATAATAGTTTAAACTTTGATATTGTTACACTTTGTTAAACTTTGTTATTGTTATATGAATTGGTGCATTCTGTTTATGTAACAGAGGACTAAGTGGAGAATCAGAAAAGCACCCTCTGTACTGGGCTGGAAGGAAAAACTATCTGTTGAACCTGTATGACACATTTGAACTGCTACTGAAGCCTCAAAGAATGGACCTAAACATCTACACACTGTCAGGCAGCCAAACTCCACAGGCAATTTTTGGTTATTAGTTACCCCGACATCTGTGGCACTAGCAGAAAATGTTAGCAGCACTTAGACTCAACCAGGCACAGCAAACTTCACCATGAAATACTGAAGATGCAACATCCAGGATTAAAATGTCTACAAGCAATTTGGAGCAGTGATTCAGGCATGAGATAGTAACACACCCCTATAGTAAAAGCAGCTGGAACAGACTAGAAAAATGTGTTCATCTGACTAAACATATTGCTCAAGGAGATAAGCAAATAGACAAGAAGTCCAAGAATTAGTAATTCCTCTATTTGGCTTTAAAAAAATTTTATTTACATTCTCTACTGCTCATAAATATGCTTGTAATTGAATGGGAAAAAAAACACATTTCACTGCATACTTATGAAAGTAAGGTAGCAATTCAATGTATCGTGCAAATGGAATGAAACTATCCTGAAATTCTAAAAGCTGGTGATACAAGAAATACTAGTTAGCTTGTCTCCCTCCTGTGCAAGCCATGTTCCCATATTTTGGGAAGCAAAAGGGCAAAATCTTGAAAGCTTTAATTTCTAATTAGCTTTATCTTTTTAGGCTTTCAGTCAGTTGCTCCATCTGGCATCCATAAATACCATGAGAAAACTGAAATCAAGTATTCTTGGGTTCATCATTTTCTAGGCTTCCAAACAAGGAACTATATTCTTACAATAACATTACTACTTGGACTATGATTGAGAATTTTTCCTCTTTCAGCAGATTACTCTTCAGGAAGTAGAGGGTAATCCACCAGCTAGGTACCAGTGGGGGAAGAAAAGTTGACATATACCTGGAACTGTCAATGAACAATTTCAAGTTCCATTACTGAGCTGTGGGGATGAGGGATGGAGGGGAACCAAGCAAAATGAAAAACAAAAAATCCAAATACAATCAACTGTTTTAATCTTGAAGTCCACTATAAGATGGTAAAAAGCATCCCCATGGCAACCAAAATACCTTTCCCAAAACTCTTATGCTAATCAAGTGTCATATAGCTTTAGTAAGAATTGTGGAAAAGGTTTGGGTTTGGAAGAACTGGGGTTTTTTTTCTTTTTTATATGAAACCATACATTTGACACTTCTTCATTTTACAGGTGACTTAAACAGCAACCTTGAACAGGGAGAAGTCTTTTAAGCAATTTCTACAAAGAAGCTGCTGTCCTGACAAAGTACTCTAACAAAATATTTTAAAAGCAAAGAGCCTAATTCTTCTGAAACACTAGATCATTAAAAACAGAACATTGATTTTAGCTATAAAAGGAGGAAACACCCAAAACAAACAAACAAAACAAAAAAACAAGCCAATCTCTAACAACACTAGCTGACTGTCTCAAGTGACTAAGAGGTCCTATGAATCCTAGTGGTTGGAATGCTGGCTGGACTCACTGACTGCCAGTGAGTTCAAGTTGCACTGTTAGCAAATGGAACAGAGAACCTTTTGAGGCACATTGTCTCACTTCTTAGATGTGGATGAGTGCCAGGTACTCCAATGCTGAGACTGGATTTGATGACTGCCAGTGAAGATCTACCTCGGAGCCAGTGCTCTCAACATCCCTTGGTAAAATGACACAAACCATTTAAATATGGGAATTTCTGCAGTAGGAGCAATGGAAGCCACTTACATTGTGGACAAATTTAAATGGCAAGAAATGCAAGTGGCTATTAAAATAATAAAATTAAACTCAATTAATGTAGAACTAGTTTGTTCTCCAACATATAATACTCACCATTTCTGATGGTATTAATTTAAGCTTTTTGTTCTCTAATACTTATTAAGAAGTAGCTATAAAATTACAGGACAGCTGGTGATACAATGAGAGTTGAGAGTAGTCTGTGCTCCAAAGACTTAACCATTTCGAAGCCTAAATCTATCAATATGAAACTCTCACCTGATTTGTCTGTACAACATGAAAAAAAATTTTTTTCCAGGAAGTGCTTAAATTGTCTTTTTAAAAGTATATTTAATATTTTAACTCTCAGCCAATTAAGAGTTCAATACCATCTCTATTTCACTTTTATTTATACTTAATACAGAAAACTGAATTTGTCTGTTTTGGCTTCTCAGTATTTGAGTTTGCCCAATTTTAATATCAGAATTAAGAAGTGCTGCCCTTTCACTATTCAGTGTCAGCTTTTTTCTCCATGTGTACATATTTACTCTCCAGGACTAAAATGCCACTTTATCTTTTTTGGTAATGATAGAGACAGAATTACTCAAACTTCACACCAAGATCTACTATCCAGCCCCAGATCTGATTTTAAACTCAATTATTGCTATAGCCTTCTCAAGTGCATCAAGACTTCTGGTAGTAGTCTTCTCCATGTTGTTTGGGAGGCACAGGAAGTTCCCTACTTGCATAAAAGTAATTGTTCCCTTTGCAGATGTTCAAGTACTTTATCAGACTTTCAGCTACAGCTCTTGAAGGCTCAGCAGAGGTGGTTCTTCACCACAAGTCTTTTTTCATTGCTGCTTTTTGTTGCCTGCCATGTACAGAGTGTACAATCTTTGTTCAAAGAGGCCATTGCTACCTTGCAATTACTTTTTTACTGAAGCTACAGCTAGTCAATCTGATGAATCAGAGAATAATGGAACAATATTACATTCTCATTGTTTTCTATTCCACTAATTTTTTCTTCTCCAAACTTCATCAAATAGTTGATTTGTCCCATGATTTTCTGCATAGATGGCCTACAATCAGTCTCTGTTAGACAACAAAACTCTGGATTATTTCTGTTCTCTTAAGGAATTAACCAGTGTACCAGGGCATTTAGAGTACTTGCACATGCAAGGTCTCCACCCCATTTTACAACACTCCTCTTTCAACCATGTCACTAACCACAGTAAATCTGTTAAAATCACCACCACTTCTTGAGGAGAGAACACTTTGGGTATGTACAGTGAAACCTAAATAGAAAATGATGGAAGAGAGACATATCACTTGATTTCAATTAGCTACAGGTTTTGAAGGCTCCTTACTAGAAAAAATGTAGGCAGCCCGTGAAATAATTCTTTCACACAGGACATCACATACATATTAGCAAGAATTGAGCCCCTAATCACAAGTCCCTGGCAGTGGCACCTGCTATTGAGGCAATTAGAACACCCCTATGGAAGATCTGAGACTGTTTAGTCATCATTGGGTAAATTGCTTCTGTTGACTACAGCAGGAGATATTTCTTTGGAATGTACCTCAGAAGAAATTCCTGCTCAGTATTAATATTTTCAAACTGAATAAAAGGCACTGTTGCTTAAGCTGTACATTTTTCGTCTCCAACTGTTTAAAAAAAAAATAAAAATATGTTTTTGAACACCTAGCTACTGCTACCCTAAGAAGGCTTCCTTGTTACCTTCTTACAGTAATTTCATCTCTCCCAAAAAAAGCTTCCCAAAAATTGCTTTTATCTGAAGCATGTCATCTCACCTTTATATCTATCTTTATACCTAAAATTATGAGTTAGTATAACAGTATGCATTATAAAATTATACCATTTACTTCAGACATCTCTGAACAGCTAAATCTTCAAACTATACAAAAATAAAGTGTATGAAATATTACAAAAGGAGGACATTAAGACAATAATAGCTAATTCAAAAAATATAATAACTTATACACAGCAGTAAGCATAAGCAATGTAGCCTACAACAGCTTCCAATTAACAGGACCTCTGAAACATGTCTGAAACAAGCATCAGCTAGAATTGGAACATTCCCAAGCATAACAATGTTTCCAATTTATTATCTTTACCACAGTACAAACTTTCACCCAAATGTTCATTGTCTATCAATCTGTAAACAAAAGCTACTATTCCCCCTCCTCATTTTGAGAGGTGAATTTTTTCAGTCTTCAGTCAAGTTTCACAACCATCTTGCATAAGGATTCAAGAGCCTGTTCTCTTGGTAATTTACTTTTTTCTTTTTTTCTTNTTTGTTTGTTTCTCATACAGTCTGCAGTGAATTAAAATCACAGTGAAAGTCCTGGGAAAAAAATGATCTTTACAGCAGGACTTGAACCATTCTAATAATAAATGCCTCTAACAAAGCTTCCCATAATAAAAGCATGACATTTCCATTTCCAGAAATCAAGTCAATTAGAAATGCTAAATTCTACTTAAAAACCCCAAAAGATCTAAAAGTGAAAAGATTCATCTTCTCAGTCAAATACAAGTCTTTCAGTTTCACTTGCAGAGACTGTTCCAGTCTGTAAAACAGTAGTGCAATTCATTTAGTTCTACTTCTTTTATTTTCCTTAAAGTTCTGTAGATAAATGTCCTACTTCTATGGAAAGATAGGAAGATGCTCCAGTAAACAAGAAACTTTGGCAAGCCCAGGAAGGCTTACTAGTCCATTAAAGCTTAGGAGTCCAAAGTGGCTTAAAAATGGTTTATGAATAAACTTTAAAAAGCCCAACAAATCAAATTAAAAAAAAAAAAAAAAAAAAAACAAAAAAAAAAAAAAAAAAAAAAAAAAAAAAGCTGAAAAAGACAACCTAAAAAAATAAAGAAATAAATAGGCAGAAATTAATGTAAACTGTCTGAACGTTTTAATGATTTCTCATTGACAGCTGGCACAACCGTTGACAGTACAGTCATTAAATATAGGTGACCTACAGAATATTCCATTAGGGCATCCGGTCTGGAATGCTCAAATGGAATTACATTCCTAAAGATTTAAAAAATAGAGTTCTTATAATATTACTATAGCTTTCCTTCTGCCCACCTCACTTACACTTCTTCTTAAAGAGGTTTTTTATTTTTGATGGCTTTTTATTTTTTTCACCATTCTGGTAGAGGTCCTGTGGGATGCTGCTTATCCTGGGGACAGAAGCAGCTTCATGGCTGGGTTTACTATCACTGCCGGTCGAAGAACATGAGGTGTGACGAGGCTTTGGGACTGGGATCCCAGTTGAAAGCTGGTTCATGCTGCAAGACTTCTCCAGGATTCCATTATAAACTTTGCTTGCAGGACTAAAGATCATGCTCTTAGTTTCTGCCATGCCTACACAGTCAGGAGAGCCCCTAGAAACATCTGCAGTTAGAGAAGAGGAGTCTCCTGTAGATGATTCCTCAAGTGAGAATTCTTCTGGTGAGACTTTCTGAGGAGAAATTGTCTGGTACATCTCAAGACTTGCTGGAGGAGACTGTTTTCTTCCAATGGATGAATTTAAGGAGTCACATTCCGAACCTGTTTCCTGTACTTCCCTGAGTCAGAGCAGAGAGAAGAGAAAATATAATGAAACTACCATTTCCTTCATACAGTTAAAAAGGAAATTAATTTTTAATCAATAACATTAGTCTAAAAGCACCACCCACACTTTTACTTAGTAGTTAATTAAACAAAAAAAAAAATTAAGTTAAACATTTTAAGTTACAACTTGCATTACATCATTTTATTATCTAAACTTAAGGGAATTAGTTTGTGCAATCTTGCTTTTGCGGGCAGCAGCATCTGCCCAGAATCAGTCATTTGTATCTCACTTCAAAGAACAAAGTCTATCTTTCTGGCATGTGAAGTCAGAAAAGTTATGAAATGAAAGAAGGAGATTTAAGCCTATCATATACAAAAAGTTTCTTCAGGACAAGTGTCCCTACCTTTCAATAAGCTCATTTGCTCCTTCCAAAAGGAATTTAACCTTTTCCTATGAGGCCATGTAACAAGAGTAGGTACACGCTCAACATGCTGTAAGAATTGTGTTACCATCCATCTCCTCTTCGCCCAGTAGCTGACATTGCTTTTGATCCTAGTTTCAGATGTAAAAGCCAGTAACATATTGTAATGGAGAATCAGGGTTAGTTCAGTGCACCCTGGATTGTAACATTACTTAACTGTATACGACATGCTAGCTATTTACACAGACATACCAGACAAGAATTCTCTGCTCCATGTAGACTATATTAATTTATATTATCTGATAGATTACTTTAACTTTTGGCTTGGTTTAACCTCTAATTCTAAACTGTTAGTCTCAATAATCCTATCGAGAGTTCCAAGTGCTGTTTGCTAATCTCCGTACCATTGTTTATCAGCAGAGAAGTAAATGGCTTCCTCCTCCTCTTCAGTTCGATAGAGAGCTGGGCAGCTCGACACAGAGAGGATGTCAGGGTCAGGGGAGTGCAAAGCGTGCTGAGACTGTGGAGATGATGGCACAACACTGCGTCTTGATCTACACAAGCTACTGCTTCTTGCCAGTGTGCTGGGAGGTTTTACAATGGACCCTGAGGCAGAGAAAAAGCAAACCAAAACCCTCCAAGTGACATTGATGTTAACAGTATCTACTCTGAAGACTAAGTAGCAGACATCTGCTTCAGTGACAGTGACTTTTAAACAACTGACATTGCTTGACAGTTTCAGAGGAAGAAAGCTGACAAACCTCACATATTCTACAGTTAGATGAAGCACCTAATCAAGATGCAACTGCAGAGATTTTGTGCCTGCCAAATACTACCCTGACCAAGTACACCAAAGCTCTGGCTCACTATGCTCTCGAGAACAAAAAAGAAAGATTCTACTGAAATCCCCAACCCTTCATAAACTAAAAATAGCAGTGCTGAAATTAGTATGTTACAAAATGTCCTGTATTTCATGTAGTGATTTGGAGGTTAGAAGAAAATGTAAAAGTTTTGCAATGCAGGTATGACTAACCAAACAGCCAACTGATATACACTACACTAGTTGAAAAACAGGCTAGCTAGAGAAGACTAATTTCATTTATGTAACATGACAGAAAATACATAATTCAACCTCATTTTAAGATGAAGAACTTTCTTTTAGATAGCATTGTCTCTTTCCAGGCTATGTATTTCTGGAAGTAAAAATACTAAGAATGCTAATGAAATCTTGTATGACTGTCTCCACCCAAAGTACCCAACAGGAAGTGATAAACTCAAATCCTAATCCAATTCCTCCTTCAAAAGATTATTAGGCAGCAATACTTGTAGAGGAGAAAACCTACACACAACTTTTCAGGCTAGCTGACTGAAGTCTCAGGATGCTTCACACCCCTCCTGAAACTGTCCCATAGAATGCATCACTGCTTATGTAAGATACACAAGCCCTAACTGGTGTTCAAAACTATTTAACAAACACAACATGCTAAAAAACCCTTCAGTTATTTTTGTAGACAACGATATCTAGCCTGACAAAATAAATTTTATTTTCTGAATGCCAGTTTATCATCATATAAGTTAGTTTCCCTTGCTGGAATCTCAGAAAAGGATAAGTTGTCCACTCTTTTAGTACAGGAAATCACAACCTTCACTAAACAGTAAGTAACTGCACATTTGCCAACACATAGATTTATTTCCACTCCTGAGCAGGAAAGAAAGGTTTGAGATTTTCAACATGAGAGTTAACATGTAACTCAAATTTCTAATATTATTTTTGATGAATTCTCTACTGACCTTAAAAGCATTTTGGAAGCTCAAAAATCATCTTGTGTTATTACAAAAAAAAATTCCTCAAAGAGAAATTGTGAACTGAGATAAGAGAATAAGAATCTCTTCAAGAAATTTGTGCTACAGGTCCAGGTACATCAGATACCATCCTACTTACTGGTATTAAAAAAGCAGGAAAAAAAAAAAAAAGATTGCACCATCAGTGAATTTTCAGAGAAGTAACAAGCATTTTGATTCTTTGTAGGTGTATATACACAGGAATATGAAGAATTCAGCTATGACAATTGAACATGTAGAATTTTCCAGTGCAAATGAAACTCACTAAATCAAGGAACCAGCTGAATCCTAATGAGTCAATGGAAAAATAGAAATTTCACTATCACTATCCTGCTGAAGTGACTTTTTCCCAGTGTTAGACACTACTTCTTATCTCATTTTTGTTCTTCAGCTTGAGATTGATCAAACAGCTCTATTACTTGACACCATATAAGCCTATCAACACAATTGCTCTGGCACAAAGAAGCCTGTCCAACAGACTTCAAATTTTGTCAATCTTGTGAGTCCAAAGGATGCTGGGGCAAGGCATTAGCCCAGTACACTTCAGATCCAGCGATGGAATTAGCCTCTTTCTTAAGGGACCTCCTGCACAATGCATTTTGCCTGAAGCCTCATGACCAAGACAAGCCATTATGCTTCTGCCCTGCCTTGTGTGCATTTGTTATTTTTGTCTAAAGGATGGGAGTAATTCAGTATTTACTGAACTAAACCTACAATAATTTGACTCCTCAACACTAGTTTCAACAACAGATCATTTAGCATAATTTCCTCATTCAGTAGAATTTCAGCTAAGTATGTTCTTACAAACAGTACAGTCCTTTTCTAACTGTAGTTCCTTTGAATGAACTGCACTTTCTTCTCTGGCTTCACTTCTAAGCAAGAGCTAAATGAGAAGAGTGACTAAAAAAACTCACAAGTCTGAAGTTTTTTACACATATCCAAATGTTGTCATTGTAGACCATCTGGAAAATCATGATAATAAATGGAGCACTTCATTTTGAAATCAGACCACAGGTTTCTCCATATAGAATTGTAAGCTTAACTCTAGGTATCCCTGTTTAATTCGGTCTCCAATAAATTTGTTGCCAGGGTTTAAATCAAAGTATTTGCACCGAAGACAACTAGAGAAACAGCATTCCATAAAAGTGATTAGAACTTGCAGTAAGTTGCAAGAGGATTAATGAACTTTTCAATGTGGTCTGCAGAAAAAAAGCTTGGTACATTAAGAAGAAAAACAAGTGCCCAAGGCACACCAAGTGAAGGCAGCAAAGTGGTGACCTTATGCTGTTTTAAAATACAGTTTGAATTTCTTCTGAGAATCCCAGCCCTGGAAGAAAAATGTACCAACATGACAAGTTTTCCTTCCTACTCATTCCTCAGCTTAGAACAGCTTGTTTGAATAGCTGCATGTGAGCTCATCTTTTCAATTTGCCTCTAGAGTCCAGTTAATCACAAGCACCACGAAGGAGGCTCTTGTTCTGACACAATGACTCATGATACAAGGGTGGTCTGAATCCCCAGTGTGTATCTTCTGATCATAGCTTACCAAAGCTGGATTTCTCTCCCTCCAGAACTTGGCCTCTCTGACGGACACTCAAACAACCAACCCACTATATCCAAACATAAACATGCTGCCTGAAAGCTTCCCTTGAACAACAGGATTTTGTTCCAACCACTAAAGAATGTGCACAAGGATATGTAGCATGCGGCCTCCCAAAGGATGTGATCTTTCTCATAGCTCAAGTAACCATGGACTAACCTCACCCCTTCCATCTGAAAGAATAAATGAACAGAAACTCAGCATTATTCTTTACAAACTTTTGTTTAAGTAGCAATCCAAGGTTGACAACCACTTTCAAAACCTTAGCTGAATTTGCCCCACTCTCCCACTGAAACAAAATAGAGGCTTTTTCTTCATGTTATCTTCATTGCAAAACCCAATTTTCCATTTAAGTCCCACGAGCTAGTATCTGAAATCTTACATAGAATTTTGGTCTTTTTGACTTCGATCTATTCCTGTTTGATTTCAATACTCTTCTCCCATCTGACTTGAAAATTCCATGTCCCACAACTTTTCCCCTTTCTTTTTACTGAGCTCACCACTTACCATGAAACTGTGAAACTATTGGAGGAGTGTCTTCATCTAAGTCATCAACGCCCCCTGCAATTGGGTAGGGAGGAATGGAAACTCGAGGCATAACTACCCAGCTGTGATCAGAGTAGAGGGAGGAGGTCAAGCTTGGTAGCCCAGAATTGTGTGCGATTTGAAACCCACAAATCTTCTCAATCTGTTGCCATCGATAAAGACGCTCTCGCAAACATGTCGTCAGTTCAGAGAGTGCTTTCCTGAAGAAAGGCACATATTAAAATTATATATAGTGTTCTTATTGATAAAGCAAAGCAACACATTCATCCAGCATACCAGAAGATCCATTACAGCTGTTGAAATATTCACATTTTAGTATTTAAATTGCTTTTCTAAAGTGCAAAACCACCAAAACACTCCATTTCATAACTCTCCAGGAGCTCTGTTCTGGGAGCAAATAATCACAAAAGAATACGTCCCAGTAGCCTTCTTACTTTGCTTCAAGAATTTTGTGGTCCACTTCATCCAGGGAGGAGCTGTGTGCAACGTGTAATGTTCCAAATACAGTGCTTCTCTTCTTTTTTATCTTTTCTGCCTAAAAAGCAAAGTCAAACGCATAAAACTAGTAACATAATTAACATATGATAAAATATTATCAGTATTGACAGGTAGCAAACAACAATTCAGAGAAGAAAGCACAAATGCTTATTTGCTTTGTGTTTACTATTTCATATCTAGCAACAGATCAGAAAAAAATTTAAGTAGCTGAAGAATAATTTATTACCTCATCTTTAGCAATTGCTAATTGCATTTCTGCATGCTGTCTTTTGATATTGTAATACTGTACTTCAACTTCATGTGTTAACTGTAGCCACTTCTGCAAAGCTTCAGGAACAGACCAATTGCTTCTCAACTCAAACTCCTTCTCAGCCTTTTTTAAAGCCATACGAACCTAGCAATCAAGAAGAAGAAATGAAAGTGTCACCAAAAGTATCATTAGAACTAACAGGTGAATTATAAGCACCTTCACACCCCACAGCAACATACCAAAGCTTGACAGTTTTGGTGTGTGCTGATTGGTGTCAGGTATGCAGATTTGGCAGCTCTGAAATCTAGCATATGACTTTCCATACTTTTTCCAATGCTATATAGTTCCAAATCATAAGTTTAAATATTTTTTTAAGATTATAATATTTTTAGTACAATAAATCCAAATTTATTGCTGTTCAGATGAAACAAAGCTACTCTCTCTCTTCTAACAACATGATAAAAATAGCTTTTGTATATATTTTGTTCAGTGAATCCCAAAGTATTACGATAAGCTAACATACAAAGTTTACAGCTTCTAATAGTTTTAGGATTATTTTACTAGATAATGGCATGGTTGATAGACAATCATTAATTACTCAGAATTTTTCCATTCAAATCTAGCACTTGGGGAATGCTGCTTTCAACACTCCTGAGGGTCCAATAAGGACTGATTTAAAGTCAACACTAAATTTATAAACAGCTGGCAGATACCTGTACTAACTCTTCCTCTGCATATTTGAGCCTGCTGAGCTCACATTCAGCTCCCTCTCTCAATTCCCTGAGGCGATGAGCTTCACGTTTTGCATCATTGATCTCATCCATCATTTTGCGCTCCAGATTTTGCTTTTCAACAGCAACGTTTCTATTCTCTTCTTGTGCCTTCTCAAGCCTTCACAATTACACAAAAAATATGAGAAAATACACAGTATATTTGTTAAAAGTTGCAGTCCTCAGGATAGCAAAATGCATCCACCAACAGGGCAATGGGTATAAACCAAAGCACATGAGGTTCCATCTGAACATCAGGAAACACTTTTCACCATGAGAGTGACTGAACACTGGCACAGATTGCCCAGAGAGATGGTAGAGTCTCCATCCTCAGACATATTCAGAAGCCACCTGCACGTGGTCCTAGGCAACCTGTTCCAGATGATCCTGCCTGAGCAGGAGGGGCTGGGCAAGATGAACTCCAGAAGTGTCTTCCAACCTCAACCACTCTGTGATAATAAAGACTCTGCAAGCTTCATGAATCAGCAGCAATTACATCACACAACGTGATATCCATGCCAGGCAAAATACCCAAATTTTAAGTGAACTATCATTAAAAGTGTAGGATCAAAATACAAGTCTCTATAGACAACTGTGTTGCAGGTGCACCACAGACTATCCACCTTCACATTGCTATATATGCAATAGAAACTAATCAGTTCAGGTCTGTTTCAATCTTAAAAGCTTAGAAAGAGAAAGCGTTCTCATTTCCATGTATGCAACAGTTTAAAATAAACTGTAATTATATGAAAACAACAATACATACTTGTAAATCTGTAGGAAAAAAAGACTGAGCCTCTATTCTCTACCTTTATCCACAAGTTCGTATTGCCTGCTAAAATATCCAGGAGCAATCTTTAACCAAGAAATCAGCACCACTGAAATCACAATTTCCATGCAAAGGGAAGATGAACAAAATCCAAAGGCAGTTAATGCAAAAAACTTAATATTGTAAAGGATCTTAATATTGTAAAGGGAGAGGGCAAGGGAATAACTAGGCACTTTAGGGGAGGATTGACAGATGGGGTAAGGTGGGAAAACTAGGGACAAACCAAGTGGAACATAGGGGTAATAGGAACAAACCATTACATAATAAAACCTGTAATAACACAACTCCACATCGGACAACTTTTTTTTTCTTTTAGGTTTTATACCTTTCCTGCAAGTCAAGAAGACTTTGCTCTGCTGTTTGGAGACTTTCTAAGTCCTTCATCATTTTTGTGATATGTTCTCTTGAGGTTCTGTTCTGTGTATATGCAAACCAGCAGCCTCCAAAACCAATAACTATAGAAACTGTTAATATAAAATCCTTCATCCAGTTGTGAGGGGGACCTGTGCAGAGAACAACACCATCATTAACTAGTTCTTTGATACAGACAACAGACTCAGGCCTTCCCCCCCTCTCTCCAGCGTAAAAGGTGACAGAACCCGATGCTAAACAGAATTCTAGCTCATTTACCTTAAACTACCTCCAACAACTTTCAATGTACTCCACAGCATTTTTCATGTATATCCTTTCAAATGTATTCCACAGCATTTTCCATACAATATAAGCAGCTCTACTCCAACACAATTTTCTTATTCTGTTCTAAAACATTCATTAGACTGAGATAAGCTTACTAAACCCCTTTACAGTACATACTCTTCATCTTTATTTAGAGTTAAAATAGAGTTCCACAACTGCACTGCATCAGGCCAGTAGGAGGTGTAATTAGATTTGAGCAAGCTCTCCCCAGTCTGCACCCTCTTAAATATGCTATGCTGATTTTAAAATATACTCAGAAAAAATAAGGTACATTTTAAAATGGTAACAGCAGCACTTTTTAAAAGTAGAAGTTGTATTTTAAAATTATCATATCCAGGATTCACATAACACATCTTTGTTATAGTAACTTGCACCTCTGTAAAGACAGTTTCTGTGTACAAGTAAGCATGCAGAGCACTGGTGATGTGGTATGGACATGGCTGCATACGGTAAAATGGGTCAGATGTGGAACTCCTGCACTTAAACTCAAGTATAAGCAAAAGGTATTGGATATGCATCACCATCTCAGTTTTTTCTTCTTGGGGAAGAAAAAAATCTCTCATTTCAGCATCCCTGCTGCACTGCCCAAGCTAGTTGAGAAGTGAATGTAGCCTTAGCTTTAAATGTAATTTACACAGTCAAAAATACTTAGAGGACACTTCTTGTGACACAAAAGCCAACATCCATCTGTCAAGTGGCGTTATAGTAAAATTTATACATGATATAACACACAAAAGTGAACCTTTGTTCTGCTCACAGCACCTAAATAACGTTTTTTAATTCATTGCAGAGTTCCACAATGCATGCCAAGCAATCCATCAGCACATCCACAAAAAAGATAAGCTGTCCTATCTACAGTATCAAGTGTCATGGAAAATATGCTCTATTGAATTCCTACAATCAAGAGATAAGGAAAAAACTGCAGAAAGTTACTAACGAGTGAGAGGTCCAAATAAAACAACATCCAAGGCTTTAAGCTGAAGCTTCTGTCTATGACTCCGGTCAATTATTTTCAAGTGAGAGATCATGAAAGCATGTTCATTTACTGCTATCCTGTTAACGACAAGACAAAACATTACCTATTCCATAAGCTATTCAAAATCAGTCCATGCAAAAAAAAAAAAAATCAATAGCATTTCCCACAGTTACACAGATTACAGCCATGCAATTGAATACAACAGTAATGCTATACAAATGCATATCAGCAAGTGGCAAAAGAAGAAAATATAATAATTTAACTCTTATTTCTGGGGAAAAAATCATTAAGTAAATCCATTTAGCATAGTAAAGGTATATTTACAGACTTGTGACACCAACTCCTAAGTACAGGCAATATTCAGGTGTGGTATTTTTGCTCCAGAAAAGGTATTTTACAGTTACATTGCTGTATATACCCATGCAATAAATCAGTAGATGTTCAAAAGGAAGTTTGTTACCACACAGAATTATGTGACCTTTGATAAGGTCCACAGAAAGAAATAAATCTTTTAGGAAAGTTGTATTTTGAAATTTTCTGGCAGAAAATAAAAATGCAGCCACCTTTTCAAAACTGCAAGGACACTTCTCTTTTCTTGCATTTAACTGTATCTTCACATAGTTGTTCCTACCATATAAACTACTGCAGCAACCAATGGGGATTTATTTGAAACTAATCCAGAAAATGTATTCACCTGGGAAGTGTTGTTCCATTGACATTGCTGTCTCTAAAATTCTTTTCATACTGGGGCAATTCAACAAAATCTGAGAGCCACTGAAGAGTGTCCTCTTGAGTCCAGTTATGAACTGAAAGAAAAAATCCATTACCTTAGGTTTTTAGTAAAAATCAACAGCTTAGAAGACAAGCAGTAGAAAAGCAGGTTACAATAGCCAAGAGTTTAGCCAAATACAATTTCAGAAAAATTAGCATTACCAAGGCATTTCTGGCATTTTGCCTTTTCCATTACATGCTCCCCTGTGAAAGCTTAGGCAAACTATAAATAAAAAAGCATGGAACCAACAGAAGTATTTTTTTACTAAAGCTTTCACAGAAGAATTTAGTCTTTTGCTTTAGTTTAAACCAGGACAGCATCTTGTGACTTTCATCTACTTAAACTAATTCCAGCCTCAACTCCTTTGCCCTTGCTACCCTTGCAGAATTAAATGGCTATATGGAAAGATACTGGTTATAGCTGGTGCTATAACCATTTGATGCAATGTACCAATATCTTTCCTAGGATGATGCATTACGAGCTTGTTTCGACAAGAATTTTCTTAGAGGCTTATGCCTACTAACCACTAAAATGGGAGCTGACAAGAGGAGAGAGAAGACTGAAAGAAAAAACCAAAAGACAGAAGAAATGTAACAGGAAAGCTATTAAATTTCTCTCAAACATGCCCAAGAAAATTTAAGAATTTTTTGGAGTATTTTTGTATATTATTCCATTTATGTAGAGAGTAATTAACAATTTTCCTTAACAACAGCAACACTCTACATAAACATTCATAGCTACAGATATGCTAAGATAATACTTCCCACAGATATTAAAAAAAAAAAAAAAAAAAAGAAAGAAAAAAAAAAAGAATAAAAAAGAAAAACAACCACCACATTTCTGCCCCTTACAGAGCATCTGCTGCAGTTTACAGCTTCATACTGACAAAATTGAAGGGCAATTTTTCACTCCATTTATGACTCTACAAAAGTCTGTCTGCATATGAAAGAAACAGGGACAGCCTCCTTCTGGACAGATATGAAAGACTGGGGGTTTTTTGAACACTTCTCTATCTCGAACTACTTACATGTGACAGTGCTGGGCAGAGATTATCACTAGGACACATTCTCAATGGTGACTTTTGAAAATAATCCTTTAGAAAGCGCTGCTGAAAGCTTGACAGGTAAAGCTGCAGGCTATGGAAATTTTTATGAGTTCAAAATCATATTTCAGTTCACACTGTAACTGAAATAAGGACTTCTAGGTTTCTTGTCTACACTAGCACAGCTGCAAAATAAGCTTAAACATTTTAGATTATTATCATTCCTGAAAGGCAGAGACAGAACACATTTTACAGACTCACAGCTTCAAGAAACAAACTCAGAACAAACTTCTTGTTATCTATCCATATGAATGGCTACACAACCTTCCCAGTAGGGTGTCCCATTTATTTCTCTCCTTGTAAGCTATAGTCAGGTATTGATTTGACACAGACTTGGTTTTGTCATATTACTCTAAGATTTTATGCAAAATATCTGGGCTCTATTTATAAACAGGTAGTTTTTCCATTGCACAGATTCTTAACGGTTTTGTGAATAATAAGCAATCATATTTACAAATCATTCAAAGTTATTTGACTGGTCATAACAAGTCTCAAAAGAGTGATAAAATTATCCATAAAATATCACCTTAATTGCATTCTAGAAATATGTTCATAGACTGATCCCAATTAAAGTATTGTTTTGTTGTGACAAGAGGAAAAAAAAGCCTAAAATAGCCACTGCAAACTAGCACTGACAGTACAGAATACTCAATTTCAGAAGCCACACAATTCACTGAGTTTATAAGTTGGGGGAAGGATTAAAAATACAATTGAGACTTTTCACTTCTACTACTAAAAGAATTTTGTAGACAGTCTGCCAAATTTTACATAAATGTATAGGTTTCTTTAACCCAGAGGTAACATTAAACATATTATCCTGAAAGAAATGAGCTACACATTCAAGTGGTTTACCAGAACAAATCACATCTGTTGCGCTGTTTAGACTGGTGTGATGTTTTCTTCATAGACTACCAATGAAATTTTCCCAAACAAATCAATTATATTCTGGAAAAAGTACTTAATTATTCATTGTCTATCACTGTATCAGATACCTCCATTAGTACAGAAACTGCAAAAAGAAGCAACCACAGTCTATCCTAAACTAGAACTGAAACTTGTACTTTCTGTACTCTTATATGTTACTCTTTTATTATAAAACAGTATCAATTACTTCTTTATTTATGTTGTGTCCCTTTAACTGATCACTCAACCTAAGCTATGAATATGTACTGTCATTTCTTATTCTGGGATGTCAAGATCTTAATCTCTTTTTACACACATATTTTGCAAGAAAATTTATGTTTATTATGTAAACTAATTCTTCACTCACAGAAGTCCAGTGCCAGATTCCCAAGTTTTGCAGGTGGACTCAGACTCTAAGCTACACTGTTCTTCCTTTCCTATTCTATCAATCAGTGAAAACATTCAGACTGTTCTTTTTGTTGGTATCTACCATATGCCATGTTGGTAAGGAGTATTATTTGACTTGTCTCCAGTCATGACATACATGTTTGTTCTACAGCAGCATAAAGTATGAAAAGCAAACTGGCCTTTCTCCACAAGAAGCACTTGTAGTCCACTGAAACATGACAAGGCAAGTGTGATATACAACAGGACCAGGTGTACTGAAGGGCAAGCAGGACAGCTGAAATTCATCTTGATCAGCCCTGCCAATTAGATTGTGCCAACTCACACTAATTAGCTGAGGCTGTAATTTTTTCTTAGTTAATCACCAAAAAAGAAAGCGCTACTTCAGACAACAGAGTAGCAAGCCACAATTACTGTAAGTTAAATGCACGTAACATTAGAGAGTAATTATAACATCCTTCTCTCTCACACCTCTTTTTATAAAAGAGATACCTCCAGAGAGAGGATGTCAGCAACATGCTTTGGGCAGGCAGGAATAGAAGGCAGTGTTCACACCCCAGAGCAGTACTCAGACTCTAGACCTCCATCAGCTATTTTATTCAGACCACAAGTTTAAGTTTTGGGGTTTTTTTCCTTCTTCTTTGCAACTGTTCTACCAACATACCTGAAGGTGAAGACAGCAAAAGTAGCTTTAAACTGGCCCTATATGAAAGTTTCTCATTGTTAACCCACAGGAATTAGAAGATCAATTTATTTACCAGTTTTTTTGTGTTAAATTTATCATGTTAAATTTATCATATCACACAAAAGAATTCAAAGCTTAGTTTTTAGGACCTTCAGCGGTAACATCAGCAGTATGCAGCATTATGTAACTCATCCTTAGCCAAGCCTTGCTTGCATTAATTTCCAATCTCCTGTTATTTAAAACCTGAGACAGCAAATGATTAGAAAGGAAGGCAACCACAACATGTTTGTGGTATGCAGTTTAGTCCCAGTTGCTGCAAGAACACTTGTGCAGTAGTATATCAGAATACAACAGGTGATTACACATGCAAATATAGAGCCATTTTTGTATCTTTTTGCCCTAATAAATAATGTACCAGACTTTAGTTCACCTCCTATTTTCCACAAAGAGGGAAAGAGAATTAAAGGAGAGGAAAAAAAGTACACATAGAAGGCAAGGAGAATGGTGGTTTTTTTTGTATTATAGGGCAGTCTATAGGAGATACTATACATTAAAGCTCAAATATGCCATAATGGTAAAAAAAATCCACTACTTTTTCTTTAAGGTTCTCTGTAACAACTAGGTTTTGATAGAATTCACATTATTCTGACAATAGCCAAGCATTCATGAATTCCAAGTTTGACTTCAACAGTTTTTACTTGGCTACAAAACCAAGTCCCAGGGGACAATGCTACATCACTACGAATGCAGCACCCAGCCCTACTCACTGAAACAGGTCAGAGAACCACCCAGCTGAAAGCTCTGGACTGATTTTACAGCCCTCTTGCTACTGAGACTAAATTCCCATGACCACAGCCAATTACAGGGGCAAAAAGAGAAGGCAGGTGCCGCTGAGTGAGAGAGCTTCCAAAGACAATTGTACAAAGACTGGTATTCAGGCATCAAACCAAATGTTCACCTGTCCCCTTTGCAATACTCAAAACTACTACCTCTTCAAGGCCTTTGCAGAAAAAAAACACTGAAGATGCACCTTTGATATTAACCTAACAATAGCTACAAAGTTTGCTACTTGTGAATAGCCTAAAGACTCTATAGTACATGTATAAATACTGCTTAGTTAGAAGAAGATACAGTCAAAGAATACCATACAACAAGCATATATTGGCATTTACATTTAAAGAACAGTAACACACAGTAACAGAAGTCAGATGACTTTCAGAGAGAAGTGTTTTCTACATTTTAAACAACCATGATAGTTCATAGTCACTCCTCTAAAGAGAACACTCTGTAGAATTGGATTATGAGATTTAAAAAATTCAAAGGCCACAAAAAGCACATTCTAGCTAAACTAAATTAAATTACAGTCTTGTTTTGTACCAATGGAGTCCTTTAAACTGAATGGCAACACAGCAACATTAGGCTAAATGCTGATTCAAGCTACAATTATGACTCCTGCCATGCAGTAAAACCTGTAACAGCCTTGAACTTCCTTTAATTTGCACCAGCCTAGATTATGACTTAAAGATTCTGCACCAGGCAGGGACATCAAAAACCCGCCCAGTGCCAGAAATATTAAAAAGCAATATTCTGAGGCCCCCTCTTTTATTAGGCAATTTTTAGAGCTCTGAATGCAGCCAATCTTCAGTGTTACATTCCGTGTATAAAGTCCTTCTCAATCAATTATTTAAATGTAACCTCTACTTTCCTTAATTCTAAAAGGAAACATCAAACAGCAATGGCATTTTTTTGCTTTCTTCCTTCACATCTTATCTATCTTGTACCACCAATATGTTAAACAAAGATCGCCTTTAAGCTATTTGACAAATATTTAAGACAAACATTCACATAAAGCAAGCTTTATGGCAAAGAATAAGCAAATTCTACTCAGCATAAGCTACACAGCAGCAGATCCTGAAGATGTTTTTATATATACTGTCAAGAGCACTAGAGTTTGCAATTCTCACACAGATACCTCAACAGACTGTTTAAAAGTCTCAAATTACTGATGCTATTATTTACACTACCTTCCATCCTCTTGTTTAATGTTGTCCAATTGCTATAAACTAGTGGCACATAAAAAAACAAATAAATCAAAAATTCCTAAAACATCTAGAAAGGAATGACAACATTTTCCATGCTACCTAAAATCAAATTAAAGTAGTTCATCTTCTGAGGGGCTTCATGCTTTCTAAAAGTCAGCAGACCACTGTTAATACTGCTCAGGAGTCTCATTCTAAAGGTCTCTCTCTGGTGCAATTTTAGTTCTCTCAGTAGGATACACAAAAAAAGCCACTATAAGCAGACACAATGAGATGAGACATTCCAAGTCTTTTGAGTCTTACTCATTCACTGCATTAAAAAAAACCTGGAATATATACACAACAGAGAATCACAACAGTGATACTTCTAGAATCACTATAGCCTAACTTATTGAACAGCTACTCATGACTTAGACCTACAGTTTTGAGATAATTTTTTCTGATAATTTAGTTGCAATACTTTCAGGGAACAGGATCTTCAGCTAATAAGTATATAAGGAATATTTGAAGAGATAAGGCCAAAAGTTACTGGTTAAAACAGATATTTACTACATTCCAAACACTTCATGCATTACCTCAGAGTGCACTTAAGTGACTTCCTGTATTAGCAGAATGAACCAATGCCATATTCCTGGTTTCATTCCCCTCCTGTTCTTACTTTTAGTTGTTTAACCCATACTAAGTTTTAGATCTCTCTATGCTCACCATTAGAACATGTCATGGTTTAGGAATGGTATTCTCAAGTTTAGCAGTCCTTCCTTAGCATGTGCAGTTTCCCCTTCCCCTCCAATTGGAGGCACAAAGGGTAAACATCACAAATTGAGATAGGAACAATTTACTGGAAACAGCAATGAGATAAGAAAATGAACAATAATAGCAACAATACAATAACAAAAGGTATAAGAAAAATAAACTACTCACATGGAAAGCCCCTGACAATAAACAAATACCAGATGGGTCCGTTCCCCATGTTTCTCAACCAGAATGAACCTCTTATCCCCAGCAGAGAGAGACACTCCTTTCCCAGCTCCCAGCAGTGACGTGGGGGTGTAGGATAACGCCCTGGCTGTAGCCATGCCCCTCCTGAGTGCTGCTGAAAATTAATCCTGTCCTGGCCAGAACCAGGACAGCACAACACCTCCGGAATGAGGAGTGGGGTGGGGAAGAGGCTGAGGAAGTTAGGTACTTTTTCTCCTATTCTAACATTCCAGATCTCTTTTTTAATCACTATATCCTGAGACATGTTTAGGAATGAACACTCGCTAGTTAAATACTGTCCTTTGATACTTGGAATAGTTGGATCAACTTACTCATTTCATCTAAATCAAAGTGAGGGAGGGCGGGTGGTGTTGGGTTGTCAGTACATTTTACTGTATCCCAAGTTAAAGAATATTTTCAAAAATTCTTTGGACTAAGAATTCTAGATCTTTGTAGCTCAAATAAAATTTAAATCAAAGTGAAAGTGCATTGAATTTGCCACTTAATACTATATTTTAAAAAATTAAAATAGCTTGAGAGAAATCCTTAGGGTTTATTAAATTTAAAATGCTAATCTGGAATTCAGCACTTGTACCAATCACCTTGATAAATTAGAACCTTATGTAAGTTATCTTAGTTTACTCACAATAAACAAAACACACAAAGAGGAAATTACCTCTAGCTGGACTAAGTTCTTAGTCAGATTTATGTGTGCCTATAAATAACAGTGTCAAAATAGATTCATGAAGATGCTTCAAGAAGTCATTCATTCACTACTCCGTACTTGGTGGAAGAACTGTTAAATTAAAACTATGTCAATAGCCACCATCATTTTTAGCTATACTTCTTTACCTACCTTCAGACGTTTTCCAGCGTTTCCACAGATCCTCAATGGTGATATGCTTGTCTTCTCTGTGCAGATGACTATGTTTATTTGAGGCATCCTTGTATTGCATATCTTCCCTTAGAAACTGAAAAAAAGGGAAAATCATCTTAAATGCCCAAATAACAATTTCTGATGAGAAATTATACAGAAATCAGGTAGAGTCTTTCCCATGTTTTCCAAGCAGCAGAGAATTGATCTTTTTTCCACATCAAAGACTCAGAAGGTAAATTAAACACTCTTACAAGATTTGTTTTTAACAATCATTAAATCCTAGAAAAAACTGACAACGCAGTTGCCACTGTACTGAGTTTAACATTATTAGTATGCCTCAGATTTACAGAGATTACAGAAACATACCACAGTTACACTTTACACTTGTCTATTCTGATGACATTTAAGCAACTTCCCCTCCTTGAAAATGAGGCCATGCAAGATTTGAAAGTGTGCCAGTAATTTTTGGATGAGTAATGCCTGAATCCTGCCATACCAGTTAAATGCAACTGCCTGAGGGATGAGAGTAAGCTGTTTACTAAGTAGTATTAAAGTCTTTTGATTAGACAACAAAAATTTGACATCTATTCATCAAATTAAAAAACAGAAGTCATCTGAGGGCCAATTTTCTGCTTGCTAATCATTCCTCAGTGGTTACACTCCAAGCACAGAAGCATTACATAAAGCTTCTTCATTTTCAGTAATTAATAGGAAGCCTTTTAGCAAACATTATAAAAAGGAAGATCATGCAATCATGACATACAGAGTGGGTGGTGAGGCACTGGCACATGTTGTGCAGAGAATCTGTAAATGCCCCATCTCTGCAAGCATTCAAGGCCAGGTTTGATTGGGCTCTGAGCAATCTGATCAAGTACAAGATGTCCTTGCTTACAACAGGGAGGTTGGAATCAAATGATCTTTAAGGTCTCTTGCAACCCAAACCATTCCATGATTCTATGATACAATCATATGATGGCAGTGTTGTATCAGTATTTCACAAGTTGCTACAAACAGTTCTCCAAATACAAACCCAAGAAAAGCCACAGAACTGTAAAATTCCCTCTATTTTTTTATTTCATAAAGGACTAGAAAAGTCAGAATACTGGTGGGTAAATGACCTCCCGTTAATAGTGGAAATCCTTCATAAGTATCAGCCCCTGAAAGAATTGTATGAACAGTCTCTTTGGGTGAAGACCTTAGGATTAGTATCAGAAAACTAGTATCTGGTACTAACAGTACCAGAAAACCAAGCAAGCTTCCTTTCTTCAGTTCGTGAAGGATAAAGCTGCTCAAACAAAACCAGCTACACATAGTCATGACAGCTAAGTCAAAAAGAACCTTTTATATGGCTGATCATATGTCATCACCACTTCAAGAGATGAGGAAGAAAGCCAAGCTAGTGATGCACTGCAGAAGAACTCAATTCTTAAAACTCAGTCCAGGTAATAATTCAAGTGCAGAGCAACCTGCAAAGACTCCATTTATAACAAAAGCTCCATTTCTATCAGATCTAGAGATTATACCTTTCAGAAACTGCAGGAGACACTGAAAAGTAACCAACTTTAAACAATGATATTAACTCTTAATAAAAAGAAACTGTATCAAATAGCAGAAATATGCAAGCAAAAGCTAACACTTACCAATTCTCCCTAACTAAAATATTTTTACTAGAATGTGAGGGAATCTCAAACTATGAATGGATTCAAGTTTCTTGCCTAACTGATGGACTCGGGACAACATACTAGTTGCCCTTCTTAAACAAACCACCACAGAGCCATACTATCGAAACACTGACTGGATGTAAATCCTCTCATATTTATCTATTACTTCAAAAGTTTTCTGATTGTCAGACATTAGTTTTGTAAAGCCTTTTGATTCCTAGATTAGTTTCATTTAGCCCACAAATCTGCATAAGCATTTTTAACTCCTCTTCCCCATGTGTATAAGAATGACATAAATTGAGATATATAAATATATATATATGCACACATATGCATATACATGAGAAATATATGAGAAACTTATGTAATATATGAGAACTGAAAATAGCAGCCTGTTGGGGCAAAGGCAATTACAGAACTTCTGAAAAACCATGGATCAGCAACAGTAAAAAGGTTTAATAAGCACAGGACTGTATGCTGTAACTGTATGCAAATGTAAAAATATCTGTTGCATATTCCATCACCCAAGTGGGAACTCTGAAAACTTCCCATATTGGCAATGCTACCGTGAAGCTGCCAAATTCTACAACTGTCATGTAATGAAAGATGGATTTTCTTATTTATTCCCACTCCATGTTTATTAAAGGCTAAACTGAAGAGCAGGAACTAAACAATAAGAAAACAAACAAAATAATCCACTAATGTGGATTCCTATCTACTAACGTCCCTAAATCTTTCCAGATTACAGTACAGTCTTACAGATGGAATAGCAGAAAAGAACTGATGTTTTTCCATCTTACCTTTTCCCTCCAGACTGCAAGTATCTGCTGTCAACTGACATCCCCAGAATATCTTTCAGGAAGTTGCAAAAAACATACTAAAAAATACAGCAAAGACATGCATTATATGTCCCTCTCTGTAATGATTCTCTCTTTTCACATGGGGGTTAAGGTAAATGCTAATGCTCACTCTTCAGCTTTCTAGTGACTGGTGATGCACCATCCTTGGAGACTCCATATGTCAGGCATGGACATTTTTTTCGAAACAAGTGCTGTAGGGTGATCAAGTTGCTGAAGAGGGACAGAATATGTTGTATATACAGGCTTGGGCCAATTTTGAGTCTTCTCAGCTAGGACTCGGAACACCTCCGTTTGTACAAAGTTGCTACCTTTACTGATAGTTGTCAGTAAAGGCTGCGAAATACTGAAGGATGATAACTTTTGTTCAGTTACAGGTGCTGTTAACAGTACAACTCAATTGTGAGGAGAAGAGAAGGAAGATGCCAGCTGAGAACTCGCGGCCATCCTACCCCGAGCCGGGCCTGCAGGAGCTCCTGCAGTTCCGCCGCGCCGCCCGCAGAGGGCGCCGCCCGCAGGCCAAGGAAGGCCGAGCGCGCCGGAGCGCGGCCGCGGTAAGGGAGCGCGGCCGCGGTAAGGGAGCGCGGCCGCGGTAAGGGAGCGCGGCCGCGGTAAGGGAGCGCGGCCGCGGTAAGGGAGCGCGGCGCGGACTGACAGCGGCCTGCCGCCAGGAACCAGCACAGCCCCTGCTCGGGGCAGACACGGCACATCCCCGAGAACCTCTTCCAAGTGAAAAGCCCCTCTTCTCCTCTGTCCTACTGCTCCCAGATCCCGAGGAAGAACCACGATGACTCCTCAGAGGTTCTCTGACACCACGAGGTGTCACAACACCAAAGTTACAGCACACGGACCTGGAGAGAGGTCACCGTGTTTCAAAGAGGTATGTAACAACAGCAAACATCTTTCTTTGGTATAAAAGATCTTTATTCCAAAAGTGGCCTAATATGGAAGTGCTTCCTTAAGAAAAAGAACTAGGACCTAAACAAAAACAGAACGACTCTAGTTAAAAAGAGGATTTTTCTGTGCCTTGTCATGGCAGATAATCTCTCTTCTGTTGCCCTGGTCATCAAGTATACACAGAAACGGTTAGAAAAATAACTCTAAATAGGGAGATTAAAAGAATAAGCTCTAAGAAAAACACATTTAAGTATTATCTTAGCCAACATAATTACTCAGAAAGGAGAAGTCTTCTTAAGACTACAAAGCTGAAACCAAGAAAGCAGAAGACAAATTACCTAAAAACTCTGTATGAAACAAAAATAATCATTTGTTAAACCAGTTACTTCAAAAACAAATACAGAATTTAAAAAACACCCCACCTAGACTTGAAACTAGAGTTTTGATCCCAGAAGTACCATAACTGACAAAAAAAAAAGAAAGAAAGAACAAAGCAGGAAAAAGGGGAAAAAAAAATTTCAATGCTTCAAGACACACTTGCAGGACATACTTTTAAGAATGCCACTGGAAAAGTAAAATTAACCACACTGACTAACAGCAGCAGGAACCACTCTCACAATGTTGATATTTTGTTCTGGGTGAAGGCTCAAGTTTATAATTTTCAGTTTCATCAACTTAAAATAGACCCCCCTAACTGACAAGTTTACCTTAAGACAATTAGTATCATCTCCTGGCCAGGTATTACTCTCACCCTTGAGTACCTATTCCTCAAATAGTGTTATTTCCTCCAGGTTTATTCTTTCAAAGGGAAAGGCAGCATAAGTTACAACTTCAGCCTTTTAGTACATTTCCTCACATCTATTTGCTGCAAGATTTGTTGCAGCTATTGCAATGTCACACATACTGACTAAATTATGATGGCTGATGTGCTTTTAAAAGACAATACACTATGATTCAGGTATGACTGCCTACCCTACAGAAATGGCTTCTAAAGATGCTATAAAGAAAAATAACATATTTAATAATATTAAGAATTAATAATAAAACATGACTAGAACAATGTAGGACCCAGCCAGGAAAGTGTTATCAAGTATATCTTAAATAACCTACACATTCTATCCAAAAAAGTTACTGCAGCTCAAAACAAAACTGTAGCCATCTACTGCAAAGTAAACTCTGCAATCTCTGCAAAGCCAAGATAGAATTTCCCAGGGATCACTTCATTGTAGCAGAACTAAATAAAGAGGTGCAGACAGACACACATTAGCTTAATCACATGCAAGGAGGCAAGGCGTGAGGTAGGTCCAGTCCAAACCACGCTGGAACAGATTTCTGTGCAACTGTACCCACGACAACACGTGCTGCCTCTCTGTGGCTTCTCTGCACAGGCACAGCTGTCAACCAGCACCAGCAGTGTTTTCACACAAGACCTGGCTCCTTATCCTGCTCTACAAAAACAAATTGTCTAGACATGTTCAGAGCGGCTTACAAAACTACAGAAGGCTAAAACACACTCTGCCTGGGGACAAATATATTAGCAGTTTAATTTTAAAAACTTTATTCAACAAAATACCTCTATTAAAAGAGCCACAACAAATTAAGGAATTCAAAGTAACCCAGTAGCTCTGGGGGCAAGGGTTTGCTGCACTGGTTAGAAAGCTCAAAATCCTTGTTTGAAA